GCCCAGTGAAACTGTTGTACCTCTGAAGCTACAAGAGCTGCAGGGCAGGAGGATTTGCAGCAACAACAACCCCATACAGACAACCCCTGGGCTGGCAGCAGCCTGGAGCTCAGGGGAGAGCTGACGACCCCAGCCCAGCAGTGCACATGTCCCCAGCACCCTGCCAGGTGCTGACAGCAACGGGCCCAGCGTACGGTACAGCTGCACCATGTGCCACTACACTTTGCTTTATTTCCTTGCATTTACCAGCAGGCAAGGACAGTCCCAGGATAATGCTGAAAAACCACGGCAGTATGACCTGTACAGATGACCCAGCTGAACCCAGAGTGCCACTGTGTCACCACGGAGGTCAGTGTTTCACCAGCTTCCAGTCCTCCACCCCTTCTTCATCTCTATTTTATTTGAGGAAACTGAGTCCCAGAGTGCCTAAGTGACATGTCGGGAGTCATACAGAGTCGTGTGCCTTTGCTCACTGTCCATCTTGTCCCCTGGGCCACGCTGACCTGGCAGCTGTCTCCCCATGGACACTGTGAGCTCCATCTCAGCAAAGCCAGGTTGTTTGGGGAAAACTTTGCACAGTGTTCCTTTCACAGAACTGAGCACGGGCTGATGCTCAGCAAACCCCAGAACATTACATCCCAGGATTAATTAAAGCAGAACAAATCATCTACTTACGGGGAGCGCCTTCTGCCATCTCGATGGCCGTTATCCCCAAAGACCACAAGTCGCTCTGTAAAAGAAAGCAGAGGGATGTACATGATGCAGGTGAGCATCACCACAGTGGTGGGCACAGGTGATGCAGGTGAGCATCACCACAGTGGAGGGCACAGGGTGATGCAGGTGAGTATCACCACAGTGGTGGCCACAGGGTGATGCAGGTGAGCATCACCACAGTGGTGGGCACAGGGTGATGCAGGTGAGCATCACCACAGTGGTGGTCATGGGTGATGCAGGGGAGCATCACCACAGTGGTGGGCATGGGGTGATGCAGGGGAGCATCACCACAGTGGTGGGCATGGGGTGAGGGGAGAAGTGCAGCTCTCCCCAGCCCAGGGACCTCAGCCCTGTGAGCCAGGTCTCCATGTCCTCTGCAAGCCCCTGGACCCACAACTTAGGAGCTTGTCTCATCCTCCTGCCATGTGTTGGGGCTTTAAAGGAGGCTCCCAAACCCACTGTTTATCCCAGAATTTACTTCAAAACCTTCAAGATATCTTCAGCATGGGACTGGCCACCTTGCTGGGGCACCGCTCCCAGTAGCTGTGGTGAGGACACTGCCTGGGGAGATGCTGATGACCTGAAGGTCACCCAGTGGGGTCATCTTAACGAGCCCTGCACACTAATGAACAAACCCCTGGCTCTTGGATGAGCTGGTGACAAACTACTCCCTGGCTTCACAGCTGGGGTAAGCAGCAAACCTGGCTGCAAGTTCCCTGCTTAAAGCTGGGTGATATATCCAGGGATCTGATACAGCTCCACAGAAAAGAGGCTGCCTGGAATAGATTAAAAACATGAAGTATCTTGAGATATCTCAGGAGGCTCTTGTATCATAGACTGCTCATTAAATGGAAGCCTGAAAAGCAGCAGTTTGCCAGTGGGAGGAGAAATAGACACTTTTATTTACCCTCCTTCCAAGCCTTCCTCATCCCACATGGTTGGTTGAGTCTCCTGAATGATCAGAGCACAAAGAACGCACTTATTTGAGAAACTCCTTTGATTTCATACCTGTATTACTTTTCCTTCCATTTTTTTTCCCCCCTTGCAAACAGGGACATTTGTAGCCCCAGCTCCCTGCCAGAGAGCAGCGCTGAGCTCCCCTCCAGTGCCTGCTCCCCACCCCACCATCACTGACGAGCTGCGGCTGCACCTCTGTCTCTGGTAACGAGTCCCAGAGGACAGCTTGGCTCCCCCAGACAGCAGCAAAGGCAGAGACAGTACGTGCCCAGCGAGAGAAAACGAGCACCCTGCCTGGTGGCACTGCTGTGACTTGGGTTTTTTTGGTTAATTCGTTATTCTGGACACTGTGTACAGGGCTGCTAATGATTCCCAAACCAGCACCCAATGCATCGGGAACAGGACCCAGACTAATTTGGGTGCCTTCATCTCAAGTGCAGCCACTGACACATCTCCAGGGGGTGGAGAGACCTGCCTGAGATGGGAGGGCAGCGACAGCAAGGGCAGGAGCTGCAGGTGAAGAGGGGACCAGATCAAGCCTGATGCTATGTAGCTGCAGCTGATGTTTGCTGGAGACCAGGTAGCACATCAAAACCAGTACATGTTGTAAACAGGCACATCTCAGGGTGGAAGGGATGGACTCTGCCTTCCAGCCTTCCTGCTGCACCTCCAGCTCTCAGTCTGGCTTTCCCTTTGCTCTGCTGTCTGCCACATCCATGCAGTCCCACTTCAGTTTTCTCCTCTCCATTGCAAGAGCTGCCCTGTCCAAACTGCCTCAACCCTCTCAACCTTCACATTTAATGAGTAAGATTTTTTTCCCCAGTGCAGAGCCCCAAAAGCTCAGACAGAGCTAGAGAGACAGCCTCAAGGGACCACAAGCACCTTCTCACATCCACCTTCCAGGAAAGACAACTCAGATTTTCAATTTCAAGGCATCTTCCCTCTTTTTTAACTCAAATTCTCCCCTAACAAATGCCCTCCTTGCTACACATCTTTGTACCTGCTTAAAAATTCTCTCTCAAATCTTATTTCTAGCCCTTTCACAGGACAGTCTCATCCGTTCTTTGTTCCTGGTCAGCTGGGATTTCTGCCACATACTTAATTATCGCAGTCTTTCCACATGATTCAGCACACATGACCCCTTCCCTTTGGGTTGCTGCTGAACTCCTTCCAAATTCCTAGTGTGTCTTTCCATATCGAGGTGCCCAGTATTATATGCAAGATGCCAAGCGATCTTAAAGCTGGAGCAATATAGAAAGGGATTATCAACTCTCCTAAGTCTTCCAGGCAAAGCAGAAAACTCAGCGGGAAGCACACATTTCATAATGATATGGAATTCAGGGTTTTGGGTTTTTTTGTGTGTGTGGAGGTTATTTTTGAGTCTGAAAAGCTTTTCAGTCCACTCAGCAAAAAGATGCTGTGCTAATATATTTGCATTGCCTTGGCTTGGGAAGAGAAGTAAGCTTCCTTTCCCCCC